GTCATCTAAAACCAGCCCTCTTCCCTGCCTATGCAGGGGGTCGGACTCGATGATCTATTGAGGTCCCTTCCGACCCATAACATCTATGAATTAGGGATGGGTGCTCACCCTAGTCTCTGCCCACACCCTAGCAGCTGGTTCACATAAAGGATAACATTTTCCAAAACATTTTTCAAGGACATATTGCTACTGCTATTCATATCCAAGGGTGAAAGAATAATTCAGTCCCAATGCCCATCCCGTGTCCTTGGCATTTAAAAAAAAAAGGTTATAAAAGAAGAGGAAGAGGTTATAAAAGTGATTTAGTTGTATTTAAGTAAATACCCTAGAGCCAAAGTTCTCACCGAAGGCAATATGATCCCAAGACCCTAAGTCACCTAGTAATTTCTATGATAAACCCATCCCAGATCAGCTATGGTGGTCTTGGATTCTGTAGTGTGGTCATGTCTCCACTGGAAATTAAACTCTGATCACTAAACTCATTTCACCCATGTCACCAAACATGCATGTCTAACTAAGCCTGTTTTGGGTTCACTGATTAGGTATTCTGACTGTCTGAAGACATAGTTTAAAATAAATTCACATTTTCACTTATGGGAGGCAGTGCATATCAGGAGGAAGCCTGTCCCTACTGCTTATGGCATAATTTTGTTGTTGCTTTGGGAAATTATGTAAAATAGAAGTTTATTGAATACACTGTGGTATGAATACATTTATTTTTTTAAATAGCTATATTTTATTTTCACTTGTGCCTGGGCTTCACCTAATACCTCCCATGAACAGCTGTGAGCACAAAGAATAGGAAAAGCACTCCTTCTAGCACGCTCTGGAACCAAGCAGGCAGTGACAAAGAAAAAAGTTTAGCTCATTTTTGTTCAAAAATAGCATTTAAAAAGGAGCACCACAAATATTGTTGAACACAAGGTAAAAGGCAAAAGGAAAACAGCTTCCTAAGAGCTATGTTCCTAATTCTATGTTTAGACAGCTAAGAAAGTGGTTACAGTTTGAAAAACTGAGCACCCAACAGCTCCAATTTACTTCTGTGGATGCTGTTGCCTGTTCAACACCAGTGAAAGTATGCCAAATTAGATAGTTTAATTTCATGTGAAGGGCAAGGATTTTTATGGACCAACTGCATGACTGGGATAGACTTAGACAAGCTTTTAAATGTTATGCATTGCATTCAAAAGCTTGCCTAAATCTATTCCAATTGTGCAGTTGGACCAATAAAAGATACCACCCACAAAAATCCTTGCTTCTCACATATTTCTTGGACCATCATAGCTACATCAGTCAAACAGTATCTTAACTTTAGGTATTCCGTTACTGGAAATCTTCATCTGGGTAGCTAAATCCTGTATGTTGACATTTTAATTTTTACCAAGGTAAGTAAAATGAATACTAATGTGCTTACGTACCATTCCTAGGCCTGTTTAGGAGCAAATTTTTTAAAATGCAGATTTCTAATGGGAAGACTGGCTGGCCCCTGTCTAAATCTGTGCCATACCCAGTTGTTTCTTTCTAGCCTCACAGAGGCTCAGGCACCCACAGGAATTAACATCACCACCACCACCACCCACCCTGCCACCAAATTCTATAGTAGGCCTGTGTGAATAGGGAACTATTCTATTTGGGTTCAGATTCAGCCAATTCAGATGCCAGCAATTCTATTCAGAGCTCCAAATCAGTTTCCTGCTTTGATTTGGCCGAATTGGCTCCAAAACTTCGGAGCTGATTTGGAGATTTGGTCATAGGGTATAATGGGTAATCAATGAAATATCTATAACTTTGTTGTTTTTTGTCTGATTTGGATGAAACTTGCAGTGGTGGTAGCTGCTGCTGAGAGCATGAAGTTAAGCAAGCTTCAAGGAGATAGGTCCAGGGGTTTCTGAGAAACTGAACCCTAAATTCTTGAAAGCAAAACTCATGTCACGTGTAAGTGTTACACCACAGTGGGGTGAAAACTTCAGGGGTGGTGGCCCCTGGTGAGGCCACAAAGCCTGCCAAGTTTCAAGGAGATAGGTGGAGGGGTTTGGGGGAAACCGCACCTCAAGCTGTGGACAAGCAAAACTCGTGCCATGGGTGACACTGTGTGTGTTAAGGCGCAGCAGGGTGAAAGCTGCAGGCCTGCTAGCCCCTGCTGAGGCCACAAAGCCTGCCAGCTGTCAAGGAGATTGGTGCAGGGGTTCTGGATTCTGGTACCCTGCACCTCTAGCTGCTGACAGCCAAAACTCATGTCACGGGTGCTTGTGCAACTGTGTCTGTCTTGGAGCATGGGGGAGTGAGGAAGAAAAAAAAAAAACAAAACAAAAAACAAAACACAAACCTACTGCAGGCCTGGATGCTAAGCCCTGCTGTGGCCACAATGCCTGCCAGCTGTTAAGGAGATAGGCACAGGGGGGTTCTGGGGCCCTGCACCCCTAGCTGCTGACAGACAAAATTCATGACATGGGTGCTTGTGCAACTGACTGTCTCCGTCATGGGGCAGTTGATTGTCTGTATTATTTCCTCTCCTTAGTCTGTGGTTTTGTAGGTGTTAGTCCTTGTTTGTTAACTTGTTACATTAGCTAGCTACTGTATATTGAGCTGGTCCATGAGTGAATCATGATCGATTGGTAACACAGTAGCTTAGCATCTGGGCCTGCAGTAGCTGCAACCCCCCCTCCCCCAACACAGACAGCTGTACAAGCACCCATGTCACGAGTTTTGCCTGTCAGCAGCTAGAGGTGCAGGGCCTCAGAACCCAGAAGCCCCTGCTCCTATCTCCTTGACAGCTAGCAGGCTTCATGGCTGTATCAGGGGCTAGCATGCTTGCAGCTTTCACCCTGCTGCACCTTAGTACACACAGTGTCACCCATGTCACAAGTTTTGCTTGTCCGCAGCTTGAGGTGCAGCTTCCCCCAAACCCCTGCACCTATCTCCTTGAAACTTGGCAGGCTTTGTGGCCTCACCAGGGGCTACTATCCTTGCAGTTTTCACCCTGATATGGCTTAACACGCATACATGACGTGAGTTTTGCTTTCAAGAATTTGGGGTGCAGTTTCCCCTCAAACTCCTGCACTTATCTCCTTGAAACTTAGCATGCATTGTGCTCTTAGCAGAGGCTACCACTGCTGCTGGTTTCATCTGAATAAGCCAAAAGACAACAAAGTTATAGATATTTAATTGATTCCCCATTATACCCTACGGCCTAATCTCCAAATCTTTTCTGAATCAATCCAGAAGCTCCAAATCAATTCGGAAAGCCTAAAGCTTCCTGAAATTCAATTCAGATTAATAGATTCAGCCTCCAAATCATCTCCAAATCTGAATCATGATCCAAAGCTTTGCACAGCCCTATTCTATAGTACACAGCCCGATTGAGGACTCATTTTGGCAGGAATGGAATGATTGACTCAGGCTCCAATGATGGTTAATACCACAAGTTTGACACCTCTGCTTTACATCATTATGCTGAAGCAGAGCCCCTATGTTCATGCAGGTAAAGGCACAATGGGATAGAATATACAATCCATGGAATAGGACCTAATATGCAATCCACACCCTATGCCACATGTGCCTGACAGAAGGCATGATTACAGGATCATGCATTAGATCTCATCATGTTTTATTCCTGGGGCAGGTGGGGAGCCTGATCTCAGGTTCTTCCTGTACTGGCAAGAAGCAAGCTCCTGCAGCTGGGAGCCCCCTCAGCTGAGAGGCTTCTAGTGCTGAGGGTGCCCCATGCACCTCTGAAGCTAGGAGACACAGCTGCTGCAGTCTTCTAGTCCTGGGGGTGCACTAAACCCTCAGGGATGGGAGATTGCAGCTACACCCCACAGCTGCTGGGACCCAGCTGGGACCTGGCACCTGGAGGTGGACTGCCAGGATCCAGCATCTTTAGCTGTGGGATGCTGCCAGGACCAAGAGTCAGCAGCTACTGTGGCCGAGAGTCCTGTCAGTTGTGGGACTCCCAGCCCTGGCAAGGCATGGTGCACCACTGCAGCTATGAGCCTGATCACCTGACAGGGCCCCCAGCCACAAGCGAGACCCTGCTATGCCTGTGTAACAGGTTACCTTCCCCAGCTCCATCTTCCCTGTTATCGATGCCCTACATGGGGTGCCCTTGGAGATCCCTTTAAGGTTTCTTGTGTCCCACTCTCTAGTCTCCTACCACATCTTGATGGAAAATTGTTATACTGATGTTCTTGTAAGCGGGAGATAGGTGCAGGAGTTTCAGGGAAACTATTATATTTCATATGTTGGGGTCTTCCACCTCCATGGGCCTTGACCCCTGTCTTCCTCTAGCTAGGCCTCCCCATCTAAACCCACCAAACAGGGTTTGACTCTGAACCTCTAGCCCTTTTCCTTGTCTTGATGCTCATGGCCCTCCTTTCTGCTCCAATCCCAATCCAATGCCCAGCCTCCCTGGCCCAGAGGCTCAGCCCCACAGCCAGAGGGCTGCAAGTTCAAGGCTGGTGAATGGACCCGAACCCACACCTTCCTAGTCCACAAAAAAACCCAAACCTGTACCTCAGGGGCACCAGACCACCCTGGCCTTTTGGGATTGCGCACTCTGGTGCCGGGGTCTGGACCCCCCCCAAAATCCTGCACCCACACTGGAGCCAGGGCCTATGTACCCCAAATATTGTGCCTTCTCTGGGGCCAGGGTCAGTCCACTCCAGATCCTATGTCCACATGGGTGCCAGGCCCCCACGTTGTAGTGGGGTCCCAATGAGGCCTCCTCCTCCCTACTAACCTCACCCAAACTGCCAGTGTTATTAAAAAACAAACAAACCATAAACAGCCTGTCCATGGGCTATAACCACCACCAAAAAAATATGATCAAAGAAGGCAGCACAACAGCTTATATTTACTCAGGGGTCATGCTTCTGCTCCCCATCGTTGGTTCCCATCCTTCCTCTGGGGTTGCAGCTGCTTCTCTGAGTTCCTCAGTAGTTCCTTCAGCCTTTGGACCACTCACCCAGCCTCTCTGTGGAGCTTTCACACACACTCCTTTTCCCTTGGCTGCCAGGCTCCCAACTGCTGCCCACAAAGGGTTTTTATAGTCCTGGCCTGCCCCCTTCCAGTCACCTGACCAGCTGGCCTGGTTCAACTTTTAACCCCTACCTTACCAGCGAGCTGTGCCCAGAAAGTCCTGATCTTAAAGGGGTCAACCTATCTTCTGGTAACAGGGCTAGGGTTCCCTGTTACACACCCACCTCTCTTCTCTTTCATCTGGGGTCTTTCCTTCCCCTCTGAACACTTGACCTGCCTTCTGGTAACAGGGCCAGGGTTGCCTGTTACAACCTGCAAATTAAAGCTACATAGCAAACAGCTATTTTCAAGGTCTAACTTCATACCTAGTTGGAACTTTTTATTGTGGGATAAGTACTTTTTATATATAACTGGTTTCAAGGTAATTATGCAATTAACCACTTAATTGTGTGATACCTGTGTGGCAGAATGCCACCTCTGTTTCTCCCCAAAAACTCTGCTCTGTGACAATTTGGTTAGGATGGGCCCGGCAGAGGATACACACCTTACCCTATCTCTTTAGGTACCCTGAGCTGGATACATTCCTGAGAGAGGGGGGAAACCTGCTCCCCCTGCCTACATGACTGGTATCACATACCTGGGTGAGGGGCTTGCTCCCTGGGGAGCTAGGAACTGCCAGTCTGCCCAGCAACAAGAGATGTATTTCAAATTGGTTGGCTGACAGCCAACAGGTGTTGGCCTCCATTGGACCAGGTAAATGAGGTCACAAGGACTGCCCAGGAGGAGGGAGCAGCAACCATGAGGAAGACTCAGAGAGGGAGAAGAGCTGAACCATCTGAAACTTGCTCTCTCTCAAAACTCATGATCAAGGAACTGCCTGCCTCCAGAGGTAATCTCCACCTACCTCTGAATGATACTTGTGAGTAAGCAACCTGAGATCTAACTAGATATATAGCTTGCAGTAACTCAGATGCGTGATCAAAGGCTACCCAGCCACGGGAGTTTGCTCTATGGGATTTCTCTGATATTGCTCTACCCTATACCCTATTCTAACCCTACCCTTTGTAACCAATAAAGTTCTCCTTTGTACCTAGTGTGGGAGACTTATTGGGAGTGGGTCTAGATTATGCCTGGTTGTCCCCTTGGTTTGGCTGACTAAGGAAGACCACTACTTGTGCTTCTGACTGAGAGAAGAATCCCAAGTTCTTGAATTGAATCAAGTTCCCTCGAGGGCTTCTTGGCCTGTTTTTCTCAGGGCGCACAGAGCCAGAATCAAGTGCATCCCTGGGTGGTGGCAGTGGAACCCCCAGGCTAGCGGATGTGCTCCAAGAAGGGGGCTGGCCAGATGTGAGGCAGCCCCAGGGAGGCACTCAGAGCCTGGAAGGTGGTTGGGTGCAGTGAGGTGGGTGGCTCAATGCAGGAGCACCCCCTACTGGCCCACCACAGCCTGTAACATCACTTTCAACTCCATCATGATCTCAAGAAACCTTAGCGTGTTCATACAATAATAGAATTACAGACGGTTAGGGTTGGAAAGGACCCCAGGAAGTCATCTAGTCCAACCCGTTGCTCAATGAGGACTGTCTCCAATTAGATCATTCCAGCCATGGCTTTGTCAAGCCAGGCCTTTCTGCCACCTCCCTAGGTAACCCATTCCAGTGATTCATCAGCCTCCTAGTGAGAGTTTTTTGTAATATACAAACTAAACTTCCCTCACTGCAACTTGAGACCATTACTCCTTGTTCTGTCATCTGTCACCACTGAAAACAGCCTAGCACCATCCTCTTTGGAACCACCCTTCAGGTAGCTGAAAGCTCCTATTAAATCCCCTCTTAGTCTTCTCTTCTGCAGATTAAATAAGCACAGTTCCTTCAGCCTCTCCTCATAAGCCATAAGCCCCATCCTCCTAACCACTTTCATTGCCCTCTGCTGGACTCTCTCCAATTTGTCCAAACCCCTTCTGTAGTGGGGGACCCAAAACTGGACATAGTACTCCACATGTGACCTCAGCAGTGCAGAATAGAGAGAAATAATTACTTTGCTCAATCTGCTGGCAACAGTTCTACTAATGCAGCCCAGATGTTAACCTTCTCGGCAACAAGGGCACACTGTTGGCTAATATCCAGATTACTGTCCACTAGGCCTGTGCAAATAGGGAACTATTCAATTCGGATTCAGATTTGGCCAATTCAGATGCCAGAGATTTGATTCAGAGAGCTGAATCGTTTTTCCGATTTGATTCAGCCAAATTACTTTGGAAGATTCAGAGATTCGGCCATAGAGTATAATGGGGAATCAATTAAATATCTATAACGTTGTTGTCTTTTGGCTGATTTAGATGAAACTTGCAGAGATGGTAGCCAATGCTGAGAGCATGATATGTGCCAACTTTCAAGGTGATAGGTGCAAGCACCCATGACACGAGTTTTGCCTGTCAGCAGTCAGAGGCGCAGGGCCCCAGAGCCCAGAAGCCCCTGCACCTGTCTCCTTGATAGCTGGAAGACTTTGTGGCCTCAGCAGGGGCTATCAGGCCTGCAGTTTTCACCCTGCTGCGCCTTAACACACATAGTGTCACCCATGTCACGACTTTTGCTTTTCCACAGCTTGTGGTACAGTTTCCCCCAAATCCCTGCACCTATCTCCTTGAAAGCTGGCAGACTTTGTGGCCTCCATAGGGGCTACCATCCCTGCAGTTTTCACCCTGCTGTGCCTTAACACACACACAGTGTTACCCATGTCATGAGTTTTTCTTGTCAGCAGTTTGAGGTGCATTTTCCCAGAAACCCCTGTACCTACCTCCTTGAAGCCTGGAAGGCTTTGTGGCCTCAGCAAGAACTACCACCCCTGCAGTTTTCACCCCACTGTGACTTAACACATATACATGACATGAGTTTTTCCTTCAGGACTTTGAGGTGCAGTTTCCCAGAAATCTCTATACCCATCACCTTGAAACTTGGCAGACTTTATGCACTCAGCAAAGGCTACCAAACCTACAAGTTTCGTCTGAATCAGCCAAAATACAACAAAGTTATAGATATTTCATTGATTCCCCATTATACCCTATGGCCGAATTGCCGACTCTTTTCCGAATCGATTCAGAAAGCCTAAAGATACCAGCAACTTGATTCAGATTTGTAGATTCAGCCTCTAAATCATCTCTGAATCTGAATTGTGATCCAAAGCTTTGCACAGCCCTACTGTCCACTATAACCCCCAGGTCCTTTTCTGCAGAGCTGCTTCTTAGCCAGTTGGTCCCAAGCCTGTAGAAGTGCATGGGATTCTACCATCCTAAGTGCAAGACTTTCTACTTGTCCTTTTTGAACCTCAGATTTCTTTTGGACTAATACTCCAATTTGTCTAGGTCACTCTGAATTCTAGCCCCACACTCCAACTTATCTATTATTCCCCCCACCTCAGAGTCATCTGCAATCTTCCTGAGGGTCCATCCAATCTTTCAGATCATTAATGAAAATACTAAACAAAACCAGCTCCAGAACTGACCACTGGGGCACTCCACTTGATACCAGCTGCCAACTATACATTGAACCACTGATCAATACCCATTGAGCCTGATGATCCAGTCAGTTTTCTATCTTATAGTCCATTCATCCAACCTGTACTTCCTTAGCTTGCTTACAAGAATGCCGTGGCAGACCATATCAAAACCCTTGCTAAAGTCAGGATATACAATTTCCATTGCTTTCTCTGTATCCACAGAGCTACTCATCTCATTGTAGAAAGCAATCAGGTTGGTCAGGCATGACTTGCCTTTGGTGAATCCAGGCTAACTGTTCCTGATCACTTTTTTCTCCTCCAAGTACTTAGATTTCTTGAGGACCTAGGAATTTTCCAGGGACTGAGGTGAGACTGATTGGTCTGTAGCTCCCTGGATCCTCCTTTTTCCCTTTCTTAAAGATGGGTTCTATATTGCAGCTCTGCAATCACATCAACCAACTCTCTCAGCACTCTCAGGTGCATTGCATCCAGCCCCATGGACTTGTACATGTTCAGTTTTTCTAAATAGCCCCTAACCTTTTCTTTCACCACTGAGGGCTGCTCACCTTCTCCACAAACTGGGCTGCCCAGTGCAGTAATCTGGGAGCTGACCTTGCCCGTGAAGACCAAGGTAAAAAAAGCATAGAGTACTTCAGCCTTTTCCTCCTCATCTGTCACTAGGTTGCTTCCTCCATTCAGTAAGAAACCTACACTTTCCCTAACTTTCCTTTTGTTGCTAACATACCTGTAGAAAACCCCTCTTGTTACCCTTCACATCCTTTCCTAACTGCAACTCCAATTGCACATCAGCCTTACTGATTTCATCCCTGCATGCCCAAGCTATATTCTTATAGTCCTTCCTAATCATCTCTCCAAGCTTCAACTTCTTGGTAGCTTCATTTTTGTGTTTAAGATCACTGAAGAGTTCTCTGCTAAGCCAAGCTGGTTGCCTGCCATATTTGCTATTCTTCCTGCATATTGGGATGGTTTGTTCCTGTGCCCTCAGTAAGGTTTCTTTCAAATATAACCATCTCTCCTACTCCTTTCCCCCTCAGATGGACCTCCCAGGGCATTAGCAACATGTAGCGGGTGCATGTGCACTCCCTGAGTGTGAAGTTTCACCCTCTGTGAAAAGGTGCTGCCAACACTGCCGGCGGTGCCTGCAGCAGCTCTCCACTTACCGCTGCCATGATCCTACCACTGATAGCACTGCTGCCACCTGCAGGAGCTTGCCGTGCCTCCCCAGCTTCCAGGGGCATGTGGCATTCATGTCCTAGGGGATCCTGCCCATCAGTTCCCTAAGGGAGTCAAAGTCTGCTTTTCTGAAGTCCAGGGTCCTTACTCTGCTGTTCTCATTTCTTCCTTTTGTCAGGATCCTGTGGAAGAAGAGAAAAATGGAGTTGAATCTCCATTATGTGTAAGGGTGCAAATCATGTATTCAGCTTAGGCTATGGGGAAGTCAAAAGGACGTGACCCAATACCGCCAGACTAACACAGACTGGGACCATCCTGTCCTAGTCTAGTA